AAGGCTGGAAAAAGATACATCAAACAAATGGCAACCATAAAGGAGCAGGAGTGGCAATATTAATTTCTGATAAAATGGACTTTGAGACAAAAACCACCATAAGAGACAAGGAACCCACCCACTGCCATCGAGTCAGGTCTGACTCAGAGCGACCCCTCCTTAGGTTTCCAAGGTGATATCACTACAGAAGTAGATTGCTCAACCTTCCTTCCGGGGAGTGGCTGGTGGGTTTGAACTGCCAGCCTTCTGCTTAGCAGTCAAATACCTTAGGCAATGATTAAAGGATCAATTGAACAAGAGGACATAACAATAATAAATATCTATGTACCCAATGAAAGAGTTCCTAAATAAATAAAACAGACTCTAACAGAACTGAAAAGACAAAATTTAGGGGCCCTAATTTATGGTACAAATACTACCGAGCATAACCCAAAATGCACAAACAGCTGAAGATAAACTAGATGCCTGGGACCTTCTGAAAATTAAATTTTTATGTGCTTCAAAAAACTTACCCAAAAGAGTAAAAAGAGAACCTAAAGATTGGGAAAATATACTCAGCAACAATGTATCTGAGATACGTAGGAACTTATCTCTAAATTTATCTCTAAAATTTATAGAAAACTTATCTCTAAAATTTATAGAAAACTTCAACACCTCAACAACAAAAAAATTAACAATCCAATTTAAAAATGGGCAGAAGACATGACTAGACACTTCACCAAAGAAGATATTCAGGTGGCTAGCAAATGCATGAAGAAATGCTCATGATCATTAGCCATCAGAGAGATGCAAATCAAAATAAAATGAGATACCATCTCACCCCAGCACTAATGGCAAAATTCAACAAGACAGAAAATAACAAAGCTAGTGAGATGTGGAGAGACTGGGACTCATACACTGCTGGTGGGAGTATAAAATAATACAACCACTGCGGAAAACAGTATGGCAATTCCTTAAAAAGCTGGAATTAGAAATACCATTTGTTCCAGCAATCCCATTACTAGGTATATATCCTGAAGAAGTGAGAGCCATGACAAAAACAGATACATGCACATTCATGTTCATCACAGCACTGTTTACAGTAACAAAAAGATGGAAACAATCTAGGTGCTCATCAACAGAAGAATGGATAACCGAACTATGGTATATATACACAATGGAATACTACGCAACACTAAAGAATAATGTAGAATCTGCAAAACGCAACATAACATGGATGAACTTGGAGGACATTACAAGAAACAAGTCAACACAGGACAAATACAGTATTAGTTCATTATTGCAAAAAGTCAAGGAAAGGTTTATATATGAAGGAAACTTTCTTTGTTGGTTACCAGAGGTGGGAGAGATGGGGAAGGGACACTACAATCAATCAGTCAATCAATCAATCAATCAATCAATGCATTGAGCCATGTGGCAGAGGGAAGTAGAAATGAGAAGTATTAATAGAGAAGTTTGGGAAAATAAGAGTTGGGATTTTAAAAGGTCTTTGAAAAAAGTGACTCAGTTTTGTGCAAAAGATTAGATGAAGGGGATAGCTTGTCCACTCAAGCTTGACAGCTTCAAGTTTAGCTGTCTTTAAATTGATAGAGTTATGACAGTAAGGTAGCAAAGAAATAAAATATATTTGAGAAAAAAGAGAAACCTATTAGTGTAGTTATCAATAAAGTAAATATGATAAATATATCATATAATGATCCTAATATTTTAAAGCAAGTTTACAAAATTCAACATCCAAATTTTACAACTTTCTGCCTTGGAAACCCAAGGAGGGTTCGTTATGAGTCAGGTCCGACTCGACGGCACATAACAACAACACAACAATACAATATATAACTCACCATGTATTTTCAATATACATCTTTAAGTTTAAATATTATGTTGGTTTAAATAGCCTAGAAAGGAGCCTCTTTAAGTAAAGGCCATCTACTACATACTAATAGTAAGCAGACAAATGAACCGCTAAAGGAATTCACCATAGATTCAGAAACAAAACAAGAACAGAGGACAAAGCCATAGTCATTTTCATTATTCAGTGATGTTCTGAAAGTTTTACCCAATACTATAAGACAAGAAAAAAGAGATAAATATTGAAAATGATCATTACTTGAAGTTTATATGATTACTTGTGTAGAAGATCCAGAGCATCAATCAAAACACTACGAAACTAAAAAGAAGATTTGGCAATACAGCTGGATACAAAATTTATGTATAAAAATCAATAGATTCCTATAAACTATCAATGACAAATTACCAAATATGTTTAAAAATTATCACTTTCTGTAGCAAAAACAAAACAAAACCCAACAAAGTCCAGAAGAAAGACTTAGCAAAACTCACAGAAATAAAAGGATAAAGTTTTACAAAAGTGTAATAATTATTAAAAAATAAAACAGCATTCTGACTACTTAACATGTACTAACTCTAGTAATACATAAAACTACTCATTGTATTATTATCACTGATTACTGATGATGAAAGTGGGGCACAGAGTGGTAAAATTCCTTGCCTACAGCTGTTAATCAGAGATACATCATATTCTTGGATTGAAGACTCAATTTTATCAATATTAAATTATTTTTTAATTCATCTAAAGCATTTTCAATAAAAAAGACTATAGTGACGGGTTGAGGGCAGGGAGAATGCTAAGCACATTTATTGCAATGTTTACCTGAAAAGGTAAATGTAAGCAAATGGAAGGATACTAATAAATGGGGTTAGAAGGAGAGGGAGAAATTGAAATAGTTTGGTTCAGGCTCAGAAACAAACATGAACAAAAGAAAGAATTTGAAACAGACTCATGTCCATATGAGAATTTATAAGCATGTGACAAAAACTGACATTTCAAGTGATTGAGAAAATGATTATACAATTTTGTGTCAGAATAATATGTCACTTGGAGGGGGACAAAAGGGTAGATTCCCATATCTCACCACATCACAAAAGTAATGCAAGAATGATTAATGATCCACGTAAGGTAGAAAATTATAAAAGCATGTTTTAAATTTTGATGTGGGATGTGTTCTAGCAAAAAAAATTGACCTTCCTTCCCCCCCAAAAAAAATGCAGAAAGTTGATAGATGTGACTGCATTAACTAAAGCAAATATCATACATGAACCGTAAACTGACATCCCGGAAGGAGCCATGTCATACACACAATAGACAAAAGGTTGATAGCTGTAATATTACAAAATCCTGCAAATACATTTAAAAGGTCAAGAAGAAATGTAAGACAGACTATAGACATATGAAAGGATGCAAAATTTTACTAGCAAGTGAAGAATTATAAAGTGGGTTACTATTTTTAGTATTCAATAGAAAATAGTTAAAAGATTGATAACACTGGTGTTTTAGCAGGCTTCAGGGAAGTGGGTACTATCATCACTACAATTTCTCAGTATTTATCAAATTGCAAAATATTCATTCCTTATAATTCAGCAATCCTATTTCAGTATTCTACATCAATAACAGACAAAGTACACAAAGATGTACAAGGATATTCATTACACATAGTATTGGTTGTTATGACACAATGGTAAATATAAATGTCTATTGATAGGGAGTGTGGTTAAATCGATATGGTTTATCATAATGATGAACTATAGAATGCTAAGACCATTACAAATTATGAGGGAGATCTATCCAGACACCCAAGACATACAGTTAAATAAAAATAACAAGTTTCAGAATAAAAAGAATACTGCAATTCCGTATTTAAAAAAATATATTGTCCATGTATATCTTGTCTAGAAGGCTACATACAAAACTGTTTACAATTAGTATCTCTGAGGAGTAGATATAAGAAAGGGAAACTTATCCTCCTTTTTTAGGTATGCTTCTGTTTTGCCTAAATTATTGAAATACTACAAACAAGCATTATTTTTGTGGTTTAAATTACTCCTCTATCCTTACACACATACAAGATTTCACTTCAGGTTTGCAATAACTGAGAAAAGCTTTTGTATTTTGAACCAAGAATCTCTGACCCATTTGCCCTCAAGTCAGTTCTTGTCCATATTATCCTCTCAAGTATTTGAAGACAGCTGCTATGTACCCCAAATCTACTATCCAATTAATTCTCTCAAGTCCTTCAAGTATTCTATGTGAATGTTCGTCAGGGCTCTGAACACACACCTTTTAGAACCTCAGGACATATTCACCTGAGCTCCATCTGACCAGAACAAAGTAGAATGGGTCTATTACCCTCCAGCTTTTGAAAATGATTCCAACAAATACGCCGTAAGATATTAGCTCTTCTGGCAATCATATAATATTGCTTAAGAAAAATACAAGCATGGGATGTGGGGTTCATGGAAATTCTCTGTACTATCTTCACAACTTTTCTACAAATTTAAAACTTTTCTAAAAAATAAAGTTCATTAAATAAAAAAATCAAATAACATACCTATAAATATTAAATATAATGTGAGATAAGAGTTCCCTCAGAAGGAAGTTTTCTTCACAATTTACTTCTTGTGTCCTGTAGCAATGTGTGATTTATGAATCATGTTATATTCTGTTGGCATCTATTTATGCCTTAATTCTAGTGACTTTACTAAACCCACAAAATATGCGAAACAATAACATTTTTTAAGAACAAATCTAGAAAAAAATAGTTAATATTCAGAAAAATAATTTCTTTAAAAGTAAATAGATAACTAAAAATACAAGCATACACAAAATGAAACTTTAGCATACTTCTGGTTGCTGACTTTTAGTTCTAGTGATCTATTTAAACTAAACTGAATTAATTTTAATTCTGAGCCAATACAAAATATAAATATCTTAGAAACAACTCCAAATATAGTACATAAAAGAAATACATAAAAATAAATCCTTCAGTCTTTTTTTTTCAAGTAAAACATCCTGTTTGTTTCATATCTCCCTTTTTCATCATAATGGTGAAGCTTAATTTACATCCATTTGAAAATTTAATATTATAGTAAGCTACTGAATAATTTAATATAGTACGTTTTAAAAACAATTATGATATAATTACCTTAGATAAGTGTTTTTACTTAAGACACACAGAATATCACGAACGATCTGTGAATAGAATCAAATCAATGTAACTTTTTAAAGAAATTATACAACATTTAAAATGCTCTGATTAATATAAAACACACCAAACTAGAATTTTTAAATGTTACAGCTGAGTCCTGACTTGCTAGCACTAAGAAAAGTTTAGTCCCAGCTCTGCCACAGACAAGTCCAAGTTAAAATTTCCTGTTCTACACAATAAGAGGGTTTGAGTAGATGATGCAAAGTAGGAATATCTACCTAGCATCCATTCATCCACATGTGTGCATATGTGCATATTTAGACTTTACTCAAAACTCCTGATTGTTATAAAATTGCTTATGGGCATATCTATTTACTTGACTGATCTCTCTCTCAACTTAAAGTGACCACTATGGAAAACTGAAGAGCATTCATCAAAAAGTACTAGCCCTCACTGGGCCATCCCCCTCATCCCCTAGAAAGGAAGTTTCTGGGAAAATAGGGGGATGAGGGTGGCCAGAGGTTTAAAAAAAAGTACTAGATGAGCAGGAGTAAACAAAATGGTGTCCTGGTAACACACTCTGCACAATCCCTCTACAACAGAGATGCAAAAAAAAAAAAAAAAAGTGAACAAGATACAGATGATACAGATGATAATCTTAGATAATCTTAAAAGTCTGAGCATCATATGAGAGGATAAAGAATTGGATTAAACACCAATTGGAAAAGAAGACAGAACGAGAACAGTGGTTGAGGAGAGAGAGAGTAGAGACCCAACACAGCATTTCCATTTTGTGACACAGGAGGTAACTATACAGGTGAAGGGAAGTCAACTTCACAGAAGCCACATTGTGACAGAGACACGCGGTGGCTAGGTCTGGAGTGAAAGAAGGCGAGAAGAATATGAACTGGACTTGGGAAAAGAAAGTGCAGGGAAGCAGGCCAAGAATTCCAGTAGCACAGGTTATTGCAGAACAAGGATTCAGCCAGTAAATGGGGATGAAACAACTCACTAGTAGTAAGCATTAGTCATTTGGGTCAAGGACCCATGTGGAGAGGAAGGTCTGTAGGGTGGTAGTTGGAGAGTCTGGACTCTGGATGGGCTATCCCTTGATTGAGTTATGCCAGGAGCTGGGAAATCAGTTGTGATTGACTGGAAGTATGCTGGGCACATGCCAGTGAACAACAACTGGAGAAGCACATCCTCTTGCTTTCTCCATCATGATTGACAGGGTGTACTTTCACAGAGCATGAACTGTGGCAGTCTCTGCTGTTACAGGTGCACATGCATGCTATGTATCAGGCTCCTATAGTCTCTGTGGGTACACATTCTCATGGATTATGTGACAGCCACCTGCCACTACTGAGGCCAGCAGCATGAGTCCCAGTGAACAGGTCCATGTCCCCACCAACTTAGAAGCACAGGCAACCATTGTCACATTACCCCATCATCCCCACCCCCATTTTCTTTTTTCCACTCCTTCTTCCCTTTTATTCATTTTTTTCTCTTTCTCTTCTTCTTCCTTCATTTTTCACTCATTCTTTTTTTTCTCTGCCCCATCCAGTGAGAGATGGACATTCTTTTCCCACTATTCAACCATACATACCACACCTATCCCCTACCATCCCACTCAAGAGGTAAGTGTCTCTACCTTCTCCTGCACCACTGGATAAACAACAGACATGGACAACACCTGCTCACACTACCTGAAGCTGCTCTTCACAACAAGCAAACAGAGACCCATGTCTACACTCCCACCAGTTACACCACCCACCTAAAGACAGTGAGGAACATCCCAGTGCTGCCAAACTAGGGAGCTAAGAAGCATGCCCAATCTGCCTGCCAGGATATATCAAAACAAAAAATCAGGATAAAACAAAGTAACACATAATCAACAAATAACTCCAAAATGTAGACTCCAAAATGTTTTGGAAACAACAGACATCCTCAAATCAAAGAAAGAAACAAAACAAGATAGTGCAAGCAAATGATCAAACTAAAGAACCAGGAAACCTCCCCAAGAAAGAACAGGTAATAGAAATA